CATTTTTCTCTTTCCAGTTAAGCCATGGTTCCCAGTTGTCCCCTCTCATCTCCACCACAACTGCTGGGGTCTCACCTGGACTGTTACTGTCACTTCCTTAGGGGTCTCCCAGTCTCACCCCCTTACCACATGGGAAAGGAGCTCTTTGCTCTGCCTGGGAGTGCCTGGGAAAAGGAGGAGTTTGCCGAGGAGACAAAGAGTAGCAGAGCGTGAACACTGAAGTGTGTGAGAATTCCGCACTAAAGAAATAGCAGGTGGATTCATCTGAGGCCTTGGTTGCCTTTGGGCCTCTGTGGGAGAGAGGTCTGCAGCCAGCTGGGCACCTTCTACCAGAGGGTGTGTCAGCCCAGGTGCTAGTGGACTTCAATGATCACGTTTGGTTCTCTACTGAAAGATGCTGACAGATGCACCCCTATGATTTTGAGGGAAGCCTGCCCTCTAATCAAAAGGTAGGCCTGTGTTACACCATAGGATCTGCTAAATTATCATCTCTACCCATATTTGAAATGACATTTGTACAAGTGGTTTACTGCTTGAGTTTAAGGGGAACATTATTATGGAAACTTTTTTAAAAAATTGATAAAATGCAGCGATTGAGGCTCTAAATATGCGGCCCATGGATCAGGCAGCAGTATCAGTGACTTTGTAAAGAGTCAGACTGAATTGATGGCGTCAAGAGGAATGGTCTCTTTTCTCATCTAAGTCAGAGTTTTTTGTTTTTGTGAGTGTAAGGAGAAACAGAAGCTTATTAGAGGCCCTTTTTAAATTGGCCTTAACACATTTGTATAAAAACAATCCCAAGTTTGGGGAGTATGAAAGAAAGAAACGTATGGAGTAGAACTTTCTTATCTGCAAGGAATGGTGATGAAAGGAGCCAAAAAGAAAGAAAAAAAAAGAAAAAAAACTTAGAGTATCCAAGTTGGAAGACTGAAAATGGTAATTCAGTGTCCTCTCAGAAATGGGTCTTGCATTGTGTCACTGGGGACAATGGAAATAGAAGCCAGAAGTCATAATTTATTTTGAGGTTATTGTAAAACATTTGTCCCCCTCAGATGATTGGGTTACGCAGCGCTGGGGACGCCCTGGAACTCCAGTTGTGCTCTGACCTCTCCCTCCGCCACCGTATACCCTCAGCCCTCCGGGAACGCGGTCCTTCCTGGCTGTTGCCATATATATATGTTCTTATTCCAATCTGATCCTCTCTCATCCCTAAAATAATCAGCATGAACAGAATGAAGCAGATGGCACAGCCTTCTTTGGCATACTGGCAGATCTGTATCACTCACTCGGTATTTTTAGAATCAAGGGGATTGAAAATTATGTCCCGAAATGTTTTGGGGGAAGACTTACTATCTTCCTAGGGTGACAGGTGTGGAAATATTACCGTGTTTAAGACTTGAGTGCCATCTGAGTGTCAAGTCACAGAACAGACTGATTCTCATCAGGACCGTGGCTTTGTCAGTTCTCTGTCGGGATTGTTGGTGGCTTGCCAGATAATAGAAAGTTAATCACGAGTCTGTTTGAAGGATGTGGCCACAAAGCGCATCAGGTTTCAACCAGAGATTGGAATCAGCAACAGCCAGCCAGCGCTGGTCAAGTACGTGGTGATGGGAGATGTATTATCCTCATGGTTTATTTTTAAAAAGTGCCTGAGCTTTGATCCTTGGCCGCAGTGAATTTATAGTCTGTTGGGAAAGATTATTTTTGCAGAAGTTTGTGATTGTATCATGAAAACCATGCAAATATTTATATTTGAACGTCCATATTAATGAAATACAGAGTTACAATGAAGGGAATAACTGTTTGTGCATTTGAATTCTTCATTAAAAAAGACTTCCTGAAGAATTTAAAGAATGTTTACTATCTTAAAATTAATTCAGTTCAACTTCTGAGGACCGACTTTGGACTTAGCGATGGGGTAGGTGCATTTAACACAAAGATCTCAAACTCAGAAAGATGAAGTCTTGGTAAAGGACATTTATGAAATAAGTTAAATTAGTCTTAAAATGTTTAACTGACTTAACTTTCCGTTGCTGTTTTGGGATAAAAAGTTGGAGGAAATGTGCCTCACATTTAAATAAAACACGGCCGTGTCTGAACCTCCCGTCTTCGAAGGCCCACGAGCCGCGTAGGTAATGGTCTGCGACTGGCGGACTTCTGACTCTAGGGCAGTGGCTGGAGGTAGGATCTGGGAAAACTTCGTCAGTGCTCAAGGGAAGGCGCTTTTTTAAAAAATTGCGTTTCATTTTTCTTTTATATTCTTGATGTACTGGTAAGCCGTCAGTCAAAGCTGATACCTTTTGAGAAACAGAAGAATTAAGGCTGGTTTTCCCCTTGCACCCCCAAGTGCCCTTCCTGCGTGTGTGAGCACGTGTGTTACCCAGACTGCCGGCTGGGCAGTGAGGGATGAGTTATACGTAGGGAGGGGACATGTCTTTTTTTCATTGTATCATAGCTGAGCAGTTAGAACCGTGCGTCAGCTGATGGTTTCTACCTTTAATGCCAGTGTTTATAAATCTCATGTGCTAGTGCGGTGTATCCCTAGATTACGGCGTGCTTGCAGATCCGTCTTGTTTTACTTGGTTGTCCCCAGCGGCCCGTTCATACCGCTAACTGTGGGTAAGCAGGAGTTTGGACTGGGGCATCTTTCCGCTGTACTCCAGAAGAAGTTCGGGGTCCACACAGATTCCTCCCTGGCTTCAGGGAGACGCCTGAGGGTGGACCAGCACACAGTGTGTCCAGAGGCAAGCGGAGCCTTCCTTCGTCTCTCCTGACACTGAGACTAGGTGCCTGCCTGTACTGTCAGCCGTCAGCCACACACGGCAGCTTCCATGAACTCAGAGTTTCAGTTTCTCGGTGTCACATTTTGAGTGTTGCATAGTCTTCATACATATGCCATTTTCATCATCACAGAAAGTCACTCTTCTGAGTGATTAGTGCCACTCTGGGTTCAGCTATGAGGACGATAAGGAAAAGATGAATGTTGTACTTCATGTTGTATGTCCATTTTAATCTTGCCTGACCACCTTGGGAAGAACACAGAGCGATTCTGAGTGAATGGGATGAGTGTATTTAAAGGTGATGACCGGCTCCGCGCCTTTTATAGCTGGGCTGGTCTTAGCCAGACTTGGGCTGGAAGAGTAGGTCACGTCATGAGACCTGGCAGCAGAAACTCGGCCACACGGGGGCGATTCCTGGAAGGAATTATTCTGTGGCCAGGGTTGTTGGGGACGCCTCAGAGCGGGGCCTCAGGCAGGAACTGGGTTCCTCTGAGGGAGTAAGGTGGTGAGGAGAGGCATCTGGACGGAGCCAGGACAGGGGTTCAGTTCAAGTCATCACACTTAGTCTTGGAGGAACAAGGTATGTGAGAGCTGCCCTCAGAATGAGGGTTCGGTGCCAAGATGCTGGCTGAGAAGGCGCGTCCCTGGCTGTGGATCAGCGCCGAAGCTTCGGGCCAGAGCGTCCCCGTCAGTCCTGAAGGTTTCAGTCCTGAAGGTTCCGAGCAGGTGGGGCGGGCGCTGAGGGGTGTCTGCTGGGTGCCGGCTCCTGTGAACTCGGACCAGAGGCTGAGTGTCCGAGGGGGCTGATGAGCAGCACGGAAGTTTGCTGCAGTTCTGCCCACTAGACAAGGAGCCTATGTTTGCCTGTGTGCTTGTGCTGTGGGCTGGTATGGTTGAAGATGCTTGACCTAGTATAATACAGTTTCATCCAGCTAGACTCCAGCTTTCTGGTCTGAAAGTAGCTGAAAAGTTCAGTGAAGACGAACTTTTCATACCGAGTAATTCTAAAGATTTGGCAGTAAACGAATGCAGGAAGCAGACTCCTTCAAGACCTGCTGTGATCGGTCAGCTGGCCATGAGTGTGCTGCTCACTTGACAAAGTACAGAAAGGCCTGGCCTCTGTGCAGAACTGCTCCACGGTGTTTAATGTAAGTGTATAGGACTCTAACTGGCACTTGAAAAGTTCGCATCAACCCATCTGAGAATCATGCGCTCTGGAATGGCACAGGACCCTTGGTAGCCAGAGTTGTACTGTGTTGTTCCTGACGCTGCCTCAGGCTCTTAAAGCTCCTCAGATGGTGGTCCGTTGGTAGGAAAAGAAGAGCCTTGTTTTTGGCGACTTTGCTTGGGTTGGAAGGGTGGTATTAATCTGGGTCTGAGGCAGTGGAGGTCGAAGAGTCGGCAGGCCCACCCACGTCCTAGAAGTGGTCTACCAACAAGTGTCTTGGCTGTCCAGGGTGGGACTGGGAATGAGGAAATGCCCCCACAAACAAAAGGGGAAGAGATCAGTAAAAACAGTCTACTGGAGGATGGTGCCTGCACATTTGGAGTGCAGCCCGAGCCTTCCCTTACACCATCGGTTTTGTTGCCCTGGGAGTGCTCTGCTTCCCCTCCAGAGGCACATCAGTGAGTTCAACTAGCTTTATTCACATCATTTTGTTTACATCACCGAGCTGAGTTCTTCTTCACGGTACCCTTATAAGCAAATGAACTTAGGTGTACACAAATTATTTCATCTCACCCCCCTAGAAGTTTAAACAGGTGTGATAGGCAGCGTGTGTTCTGCCGACAGTGGGTCAAAAGGAATGGCCAGCCGATGGTTTGAATAAGCAGGGATGAGTTTTGTTTCTGTACCAGGAAAACACTTGAACGCCAGTATTTTAAATTGGTCAACTGAGCCTCACACTGACCTGAGATCGTGGTTTGAAGTAGATTATACTGAGTCTATGGAAATAGCCGTCTCTGTCACAAAAGAAAGTGTGCTTCATCCACCATCAAAACACTGTGTGCTTGACTCCTCGCCACTCAGGGAAAGCAGACAGGTGGATTTCTGCGCAGAAGGATCTCTTAACGCACACGGGGAGGATGGAGAACAGTGCTGCGTTAGAGCCATGTAAAGGAACACGTTGATTCTGGGTAGCTGATTCTGAACTGGTGGGGGAGGAAAAGCATTGTTTTCAAATAGCTAATGCAAGAAAACGGTTTCTCTTCTCTCCACAGACAGTCTGGTGTTCCAGGACTAGCCCTGGCTCTAGTGATGCAGATTACCTTTCTACTCCTGGAATCTCATCTGTGCCTCAGACTTTCTCCTCCCAGCTTGAGACTGCACATACACTAGGATGTGGGACAGCAGGAAGCAGAGCTAGTGGTCCCCAAGAGGCCCGTGTCTGGGTAGAACCAGCCCCAGGACGCTGCCTTTCCCCTGGGCTGGAGTTCAGCTGTGGGGGTTCGGCGCATGTGCTCAGCACCATCCTTCTATCTGTGCTTAAATGGCACAGCGTTTGGTCAGCGCCTCTGAAAAGGAAGGTGCGAGAAGCAAAGCCCATGGCCACCTACCCCTGCCAGTTATGTGGCAAGATGTTCCTCACCCTGGAGAAGTTCACTATCCACAATTATTCTCACTCCAGGGAGCGACCTTACAAGTGCTTGCAGCCAGAATGTGGCAAAGCTTTCATTTCCAGATATAAATTAATGAGGTGAGAGGCTTTAGAAAAGGTATGTAAAAACATATGCCTCCAAATGGCTTTGCTCGCCCTCAGACAAAAGGGAAAGGGACGTAGAATGTGGTGCATTTTAGCCTTTAAAGCTGTATCTCCAGTGGTGACTGGAGTTTTATGTGACAGTTTTGCTGTGCTGTATCTGTTCATTCTTTCAACAGATATGTGCTCCTACAGTATGCCAGGTCTGAGAACAGAGAAAGGGAAAGGCCCATGTCAGGGGAGAGAGTTGTGCCAGCACAGACTCCTTGAAACTAAAATTCAGTCTGAGTGCTTTGACGGACCTGGCAGGGGGAGAATGTAGTCCCCCTGCCTGGTGAGATTCAGGAAGGCTTCTCAGAAAGGTTTCCCAGGAAGGTACTGTCTTAAACTGTGGCATGAAGAAAGTGGACAGCAAGGAGGTTCTGGGAAAGTTCTAAGCCTTGGCCTTGAACGCACATGCACAGAGTGTAGTGTTGGAGGAGGGGCAGCGTGAGGCTACAATGTAGGGAAGAAGCAAGCAGTGCCCGTCAGGCCCTCTCCACTGTTGTAGAGGATTTGTTTTATTCTGATGAGTTTTAGTGAAGAGCATGATTTGATTAGGACATTGGAATGACGGCTGTGGTGGTCATTTGGAAAGCAGAGAAGAGGCAAGTAGGCTGACTGGAAATCTGTCGTCACAGTCCTGGTGTGAAATACATGGAGAGATTGTCCAGGTCCTGACAGTGAGGATGGAGAGGAGGGAACACCTCCAAGTGTAAAGTTTTGGAGCAGTTTCTCAACTCGGGTCTAAGAGCCACCTCTCAAGTGGAAATCTGGGGGTACACAGATGCTGAGTATGCTCACTTAGTCAGAGCTTCAGAGGCATCCATGCCACAGCAAAGGGTAAAAACCTCTGTTTTAGCAACTGTTTTTTCAAAACAATACAGTATGTTTAGTCTAAATTACTTCTCAGGTGCCTACTAGGGACTTCCGTAGGGGAAGTGGACATGTGAGATAGAGCTTCTACCTCCAAAGGACTCCTGTATTGCAGAAGAGATGAAATATACACAAAATTGATTCCAGTTGCACAGGATCCAATCAATAGTGAGCATTGTGCGTGTGCTCTGCACGTGGCTCCTCAGAACAATACACGCAGGCCTCCCACGGGGTGTACACTTTTGACACCTGGCTAAGAGACATGTATCATTTGTCTTTAATCTTCAGGAAATGAACTTTAAAGCTTCAACTAGCAGATTACTCAGCTAGTACCTTGCTGATTGGCAAAATTCAGCAGGAGAGGATTGGCATCAGAGTGATATAAACATGGGCCACGTTATTAATTAAATGTTGAATTGCATCTGGAGTGAGGCACTTGGAAGAGTTAAAAAAGATATAAATTATATTCCTGGACCTTAAGAATGCTAGTGTTATAAGTAAGGTACTATAATAAGTTGATTTTCAAAATGAGATGATAAATGCATAGGTTTTTAAAAATTCAAATGTGTTCTCTACATGGGCCACTCTAGTTGCCATACATGTAAGTATTGAGTGCCTACTGTGTGCACCGATTTTGTTGCAAAGGCTTCCTCTTTTGCAACAGGCTTCTCATGTGTAACACAGTAATGACCCTCGCTCGATCACGGAGAGCAGCGCTTGCTTGGCGAGGCCAGGGCGAGGGTACTGTAACTGTGGGTAAAGACCAAAACGCGGAGAGGAGATGAACGTTTGGAAAAGACAGTGGAGCCAACAGATTATCGGAATGACAGGAATCAGGCGGCATTGCTGTGGTGAACCGCACTGAAGATGTCTTAAGCAATGTTTAGGAGGTGGTCGTTCTGAGCGAGGGAAACAGCTTGTTCGGTTAAGAGTGTGAAGCGAGGCAAAAAAGGGAAGCAGGGTCCTTTGTGCAAGAACCGCCTGACCCGCCACAGCCACCCACATGTCTTGCCCCTCTGGCCTGACGCAGTGATCTCAGAAAGGGCTGGGAAAGCGGCGAGACGGCAGGACGCTGGCGCGGTTGCTTTCTCTCTCTGTTTAAGGGCAGCATTCCATCCCATTTCCCTCAGTTGCAACATACACTCCCTTTTATAAGCAGAGCTTGAGGGAGAATAACTGACTTGCTTAACTAGAAAAGAGAACACGGGTCCCCGTGCGGCAGGCAGTTAGGTGGAGACAGCAAAGACGAGAGACTGGGCAGTTAGATGGAAGCCCCCAGTTCAAAATCCAGTGCAATTCTAATTTGGAAGAGGTCTGAGATTGTTGACGCGGTCCAGGTGACACCCCCAGTGGTGGTATTTGATGCTGACTACAGGGCAGACACAGTGTGGTTTCATGGGCTGGGAGGTGAGAAGAGAGGCTGAAGGAAGGAAACCAGTTGTTGAAGTAACTTTGGGTCTAAGATGATTATGTCCTAGGTTGGGACTGTCGCATGCGTAAGGAAGGGGTGAATTGAAAGGGGCCGACAGGATGCCAGGCGGAAGAAACAACAAAAACCCCCCAGAGGGTGAGAGCTGGTACTACTGCTCAGGGGCTAACAGTTGTTCCAGTCTCATAGGTGGTGCAGCCCTAGGCAGGAAAGGGCCGCAGTTCCCGGGGCACCGATCTGCCCCTGGGTGGTAGAGGAAGTCTAACCAGACAGAAAGTCCTCCACAAAGGAAAAAGCGGAGAGAGGCAAGAATAGAGGATCCAGTCAGAGCTTCGGGGTCCTAGTATTGGACCAAATAAATAGAAAGTGGTTGAAATGCCACATTTGTAAACCAGTCCCCTGTCACATCTGTTCCTGACAATTCGTGTATCTATGGACATCTTAAATAAGAACGCGGTTATTTCTTAAGAAGTAACAGACCCAGCCCTTCTGCAACCCGTGAACATGTTTAAGTGCCCCTGGGACTCTAGACATCAGCATCACTGCAGTCTCAAACACCTCTCGCACTGACTCCTGTCCCTGAGCGTTGTTTACGCCTCTCTTTCTCATCTGCATCCCTTTGCAGGCAGAGCCCTGGTGTCCTGGAGGGAAGGTGGAACTTACTTTTCTGTCGATCCCCTGCACAGAGCAGGCTACTTTTTTTTTTTTAAGGGAGAAAGGAAGAAGATGTGAGGTTTTTGCTTTTTTATATTCAAGAAAACGACAATTAGACTTAGATTAGCTTTTTGGAACTGGCTTCCAGTCATGCTCCTGGTAGGGACCACCATTGTTTTCTGAACAGCTGCGGCTGTGGACCCCTTACTCATGCTACGTCTAGAAAAGGGTCACGAATGGACAGTACAGGGTAGAAGGTTGGGGGACACTTTTTGGCTTAAATGTACTGTATTTTAAAGAAATTCTATCTTTTGGCATAGAATAAGTTGTTAGAGATTCTTTTGTACAAAGTCAATAAGCTCAATTGCCTTGAAATTGTCAGTAGGACAAGCTTTAACTCCCAAAGACAAAACACCTAAAAGAGTTAACTGTCAGAAGGGACATGAAGCAACCTATGCTGTATTTGCAAGCCACAAGTTGTTTAAGGGTGCTGTTATGTAAGAAATGCTAACATATAGGACTTGGTGTTTTGTATGACACAGTTATTAAAATGACCCTTTTTAAAGTTGTAAAGACAAACTCAGGATTCCTTTGTATCACGGAGTTTTTAAAAACCAAGAGTTCAGATCTTAGGAATTCAGTGGAACTACAATGGAAATGGAATCGTACTGGTTCTCCATAACTAATTTGTGCTTTACAGATCCAATTATAAAATAGCGATTTTGACATTCCAGATTGACTAGCATGACTGTGGCTTGTCCCTGAAGCCCAGTTAGAGAAGCACATGACTTCTGCTAGCAGCAGCAGCATGGACCTTCTTGAAAAAGTCCCTTTGAATTCTGCCAGTGAAGTTACCAGGGACTTCAGGAAGTGGGCCGAAGGGCCCTACCAGGGATCTTGAGGAGATGGAGATAGGGCCTGCATGCATCTGGGGTGGTAGCTGATAGCAAAGTGTTAAACGGAGGGAGCCCCGAGGTAAGTGCGAAGATCTCATGGGAGGCACAGGTTCAGAGCACAGGTAGTAGGGTTGACATTTGGGGGGGTCCAAGTAGACGCTCTCTTTGAGGTTAAGGATGACTTATTGTCTGTGGCCTGAACTTTTTGTCTCAATCAATAAAAGCCAAGCAGCAATTGTATTAGAAACAATAACCTCAAACTGGAGGGTGATGGGGTACCATATTGAGTCACTTTTAGAAATTCAGAAATTTTCAGAGTATACCCATTTAACCCCTTCCTGAAAAATTTTTATGGTCACATATTTTTAAATACTTGTATACAATTAGCCGTCTCTTTGTGCACATTAGGAAAATTGTACGCAAACTATATTCCTCACAGGTGTGAAAATTGCATTATGTTTTTAGTAGCACCTGTTTTTTTTACCATGAAGTTTTATGTACATGTAGAATCTAGAAAATATAGAAAAGTGTATTAAAACTGCAGATGATTTCTTACACCACCACCTAGAGAGAACTATTATTACATCTTACTGTTGTTTCTCTACCTTTCATGGGCTCGTCAAAAACTGAGTCAGTTGTGAAATTTTCCCTTCTGCTCCTAGACACATGGCTACCCACTCGCCCCAGAAGACTCACCAGTGTGCTCACTGTGAGAAGACGTTCAACCGGAAAGACCACCTGAAGAACCACCTCCAAACCCATGACCCCAACAAAATGGCCTTTGGGTGTGAGGAGTGTGGGAAGAAGTACCACACCATGCTGGGCTACAAGAGGCACCTGGCGCTCCACGCAGCCAGCAGCGGCGACCTCACCTGCGGGGTCTGCGCCTTGGAGCTAGGGAGCACAGAGGTGCTGCTGGATCACCTCAAAGCCCATGCCGAAGAGAAGCCCTCCACCGGAACCAAGGAGAAGAAGCACCAGTGCGACCACTGCGAGAGATGCTTCTACACCCGGAAAGACGTCCGGCGCCACCTGGTGGTCCACACAGGCTGCAAGGACTTCCTGTGTCAGTTTTGTGCCCAGAGATTTGGGCGCAAAGACCACCTCACCCGCCACACCAAGAAGACACACTCACAGGAGCTGATGAAGGAGAGTTTGCAGTCTGGAGAGTTTCTGAACACTTTCCACTCTATCTCTCCCCAGTTTCAGCTGAAGGCTGCCCCACTGTCTCCTTACCCGCTAGGGGCTCCTATACAGAACGGGCTGGCCGGCGGCTTGCCCCCTGAGGTACATGGCCATGCCCACAACCCGCCAGAGCAGGTCTGCCCTCCTATTCAGCCTCTGCCAGAGGGCCTTGTTCCCCTGCACCCCATAGCACCTCCCGGCTCTCCCCCTGCGCCCCTCCAGAATCACAAGTACACCGGTTCTACCTCATACGCCCCACTTGCAAACCTGTCCCTCAAAGCAGATACTAAAGGGTTTTGCAATATCAATTTGCTTGAGGACTTGCCACTGCAAGAGCCTCAGTCACCTCACAAGCTCAACCCAGGTTTTGATCTGGCTAAGGGCAGTGCTGGTAAAGTGAACCTGCCCAAGGAGCTGCCTGCAGATGCTGTGAACCTAACAATACCTGCCTCTCTGGACATATCCCCCCTTTTGGGGTTCTGGCAGCTGCCCCCTCCTGCTGCCCAAAATGCCTTTGGGAATGGCGCCCTCGCCCTGGGGCCTGGGGATGCTCTGCCCCATAGACTAGGCTGTCTGGGGCAGCAGCAGCAAGATCCCTCACTAGCCATGAGCACTATGAGCCTGGGCCAGCTCCCCCTCCCACCCATCCCCCATGTTTTCCCAGCAGGCACCAGCTCTGCCATCCTGCCTCATTTCCATCATGCATTCAGATAAATGATTTTTTAAAGCATACTTTCCTCATTCTGGAAGCTGTTTTAAGAAGCATTGTAAACGTCAGTTATGTTACGAGGGAATATTTGGAAAGCAGGACTGTGAGTATAGCTTATTCAGTAATGACTGGTTTGAGATAAGAGAGTTCTCGAACTGCATGTATCGTGCCAATCTGTCCTGAGTGTTAACGCTTTGTACCAAATGTAATAAGCAAGTATTCTTTAATGGAACTGCAACTATTGTCATAACCGGCGTCCGAACGGGGGCTGCTGTCCCTAGGTGTCTGTCAAACTGCATTCAGTCGGAAGCCATGATCATTGTAATGTTGGCTGAGCAACTTTATGTAGCGCTGCCTAGTAGGGGAGCTGTGGGAAGGTTTGGATCTCTCCAAAATGGGAGAAAATTTGTTAAATACGCAAGTAACCTTTATACTGCTTATTATAACTAGGCTGTGTATTTCTTTTCAGGGATTTTTCTACCTTCACGGTTGGATGTAGTTTAGTTACTATTGCCATAGCCAACCTGTAGTTTTACAGAAACAAATTTCTTGTGGAATAATAGATGTCTTCATTTTAAACAAGCATTTTAAATGTAGTTTGAATATTTTCCACAAGACGCTACAATGTGAGTTATCACTTCATTTATCTTAAAGACTAAACTGGTTGTGTCAGTTACATCTGACGGAAAAATCACTGTGTACCCAGACTCAGTGGTAAAATAACCCATGCGTCAGTCAAAAAAGCATTTTGCTGACTTTAATATTGATTATATTTTTAACAGGAATTTAAGAAATATTACTGGAATTTAAATATATATATATATTAAACAAGAATTTTCTTTGCTCTGTCTGGCTTAAAATACTACTCTGCTTAAGTATATTTTTAATCATCAGCAAATAAATGCATTTAAAAATTTATCATTTAAGTCAATATTAGTTGTATTAAAAAATAATAACATTTTGCAATGTTAATCTCTCTCTTAAACTTGGTATCTAACGAGTTTTAAAAATATACAACCTAACCTTTTTGTTAAGACTCCTTTGTCTTTTATGTTTAGAGGCTTTCTATATGAACATGTATCGTACATATAATAAAGTCTGCAAATCCTGACTGTGGCTTGTTGAGTTTTTCTTACAGCTCCACCGCCTAACCACCCAAATCAGGACACACAACATCCCCAGCTCCCTTGCGGGCTCCCTCACGCCCCCTCCTGGTCATTCCTTCCCCCGCAGAAACTACTAGTCCGATCTCTATTCAGCATCGACTAGAGACAAACTTTTTTTTAGTAACATTATGACTTAAGGTAGAAGCTTATGTGCGTCAGTTAAATTCACAGCGCTAAGAGCTTATTTCTTAGTTTATTTCTTATTTATCCCTGTATAAAATTCTGAATCCTTCTATATTATGAATTTATTTCTGGTATCTAGGGCAGAATACTAGCTACTGAGGTTTGGTCTGCCCTGGGCCAATTTTATGAGTGTTCACCATTCATTTCAAGCATGAATTAGAAATTACATATTCCTTCCTGGGATTTCTTCACGAAATATTCCCCACCCCCAACTCTGTCGAGCCTGTCTGTTTTGCTGTTTTACCTCTAAAGAGGGTGGGGGTGGGTAGAGACAAGGAAGCCTTGAGTTCATTTGCCCAAATGTGAGAAACCTTGGCCCACGGCCCTTACCAGCGGTGCCGGTTACAGGAAAGGCGACCTGGGGTGGGGCAGGCACTGTGCGGCGACTCGGGAGATTCTTAAACTACAGTGTAACCTGGAGGGAGGCAATGAGACAAAGGGACATCGTTACCATCAGCATGAATCCACTGCTCTGGGATGGCCAAGTCAGCGCCCATTGCCCCTTTCCTCTGCAAGGGAAGGCAATTTCCCACGGCAATGGGACAGAGGAGTGGCTCACCTCGGCTAAGTCCTCCCAAGGCCCTTGTCTAGAGGCTTCCACAAAGACTTCCCCATGGCCTAGTCATCTTCAGTCCATTCCAAGACACACACCTAACTTTCCTGAGCACAGAACCAAGTATTTGATCCCCAAACACGGATCTGAAGGGTCGCAGGTGTTGTGCTTGCTGCGCTGCCAGCGGGAGTAGTTCCGGTTCTCCTACTTAAGTTGAGGCAGGAAAAATGGCTTTTAACCCCTAATTAAAATTCCCTGTGTTTAAGAAAAATAAGAATTAGTAGCCCCAGCTGGGTGGCTCAGTTGGGTGGAGCATCGTCTCCTACACCAAGAGGTTGCAGGTGGGATCCCGGTCACAGCAACTGGATCGATTTTTCTCTCCCCTCCCCGACCCCTCTCAAATCAATGGACATTTCTTGGACATTTCTTTGGGCGAGGACTAATATAAATTAAAAATAAAAAATTAAAATTATTGGATTAAAAAGCATGAGTTGAGTATAAATGACGACAAAAGAGTTTATTAGCAACAACAACAACAAAAAAAACAGGTGAGACACCACCTTCCCACAGAGCTCTCTGAAACAATGATAAGACGGAGATTGGCCCCCTGATTTGGCCGAGATAAATGGCTTCTGGCTGCTTAGAGCATCTTTCCCTCCCAGTGTGGAGATCATTGTACCTGGTTCTCTCCACTGCAGTGCCCCCCTCCCCCCCGCAAACAACTCTGTGCACTTGTGTATGTGAGATAATTCTCCATGGTATATAGATGGACATTTAAAATACGAGTTGTTACTAATCACAGTTTAATGCTTGTTAGAAGCAAATAGCAAAGCTGGGAATTCACAGCTGTAGAACGAAGAAGCTAGGTAAAAAAAACATCTTCCTAGTCAGTAAATGATGCTAGTCCTCCAAAAACCGTTTCGCTGAACGTTTCCACTATCAAAGCAACATCCTTTAAAAAGCCCATTAAATGTCCAGTTTAAAAAAGGCTTCAAGGGAATCTTTAAATCAATCACTGTACAGGTTAATGTGGTGTTTAATGCATTCACTTCGACTATTTTGAAGGGAGCAAATAAGAAAATTTGAAAAGCTAAAGTTTTTTACTTCTACACGATGTTTCGAGAGAAATCACAGGCATTGAAACAGACATCCACTGCGCCTTCCTTCGGGTGGCATTCCGGGGGTGCAGCTATGGGGGCGGGTTTTAGGGAGCCAGTCTAAAAGCGGAAAGAGAAGATATTCATTAGAAAGAACTCCATTGTTTCCCCTCCGAGAATCTCAGGCAATATCAGCTCCTTTAAATGTTTAAGGGTTTTTAACAAACGATTCACAATATGAAAAAGGTCTCTGACTTCATACCAATCCTATTCCAGGTCAATCTCAGGAACTGTCTTTTGGGGGCAACATGTTTGGAAAAACGTGGGACCAGGCCATAGCCTTGCAGGTCAAAATGAAGAACTGTTCCTTTTTCCCTATTAGGTCAAGCATCAAACTGAATATCATTTTCGCACTGTAGGTCTAACAAAAGAGTAAATTTCAGGAGAACACACTTTATTAACCTAACTCTAGGCTTGTCCATATTTTCTCTTTGGGTTCCCCGCTATGGGATCGTTCCCTTAAAGGCTCATTAACTGTATCTTGCAGATTAGATGATTAGCAACACCTGGATTAGAGTTTCAATTTTTTTTTCTTACCTGGCCTCTAGGAGTTAATCTTTTTTAGAAGATTTAGTAAATCCTTGTTTGAGTTTTGCCGCAGAAGCAGGGTCCACTGCTAATCCTTTACAGACATAAACAGATTTGTTATTATGTAAAAGCAAACATTAGCAAGAAAGAAAAAAAAGGAAGGATTGTGAAATCCTCACATTGGATCAAAGTCTCTGTTCCATTTTGTTTTGTTTTGTAGCTATAGACAAATACTCAGTTTCTATCCTGGGCCAAATAATAAAGAAAGCCAGGGGCTGTCTCAGGATTCTCTCCCCCTGCCCCTAGCCCTTCACTTAGCATGAGATGCCTCCGCGCACACACCCTCACCGCAGCTTATTGTATAGCAATGGACTGACTTCACTGACAGGGTTCTTTTCCTTGGTGTCCAGAAGCTCTCTTGGGTATGAAGAGGTAGGAGTTTATGGATACAGGCATGCCATAGTCTGTTTTAGACCACATGGTATAGGGCAGGATTCTCAGAGAAATCTTTTTTTTTTTTTTTAAGAAATAAGCCCCCTCTGTCCTAGAGGCCTCCAGTGTTTTATGAAGGGGGTGTAACCAAATAACCCAAGGAAACTGGGAATCAAAGTATCACAGGACATAGGAATGGAAAGAGCTTTAGTGTTCCTTTTATCCAAAGATCTACAAGTTCTATTTCCATCGAAGGGTCAGCAACCGACCCTCAGATACTCATTACATTTGCTAAACAAACGGTGAAGCGAGGTGAGCAGGGCATGCTGGTGCAGGGAAGATGCTCAAAACAAGCATCTGGCCCCCGAAATAAAAGCAGAGCCCACCCAACAAAGTTGTAAAATGCAATTCACTAAATATATGAAGAGGCAGGGCTCCAGAACCCAACATTTTCCTACTGATCTTAGTCTCCCCGTGTCAAGGTAGTGGAGAAGCTGATTCTCAGAGGCACCTTTCCAGCAAATCAATCACTCTCATGTCAAAACCCTTGAGAAAACAGCCACCAGCAGAGATTTGCTAACGAGGCTATAAACTCACTTCCAATCTGAACTATATATCTCCTTACTGTCTGCATTTTTTGACCCAGTTTTCCCCAAGCAGACAAAGATTGGGTTGGTTCTACGATTCCCCATTAAATTACTTGTGCAAGTTGCTTCACCTGTCTGTGCTTCTCTCATGTATCAACTAGGGATATGAATAGTCATTTACTCCCTGGTGAGGATTAAATGAGGAATAATATGTGAAGTGCTTAGAAGAGTGTACAGTTAAGTATGGGCTATTGTCTATGAAGAAGGGAGTTGTTTAGTATAGCAAAAAAGTAGACACAATTTGCCCTGGCTGGTGTGGCTCAGTGGATTGAGTGCCAACATGAGGACCAAAGGGTTGCCGGTTGGGTTCCCAGTCAGGGCACATGCCTGGGTTGCAGGCCTGGTCCCCAGTAGGGGGGATGTGTGAGAGGCAACCACACTTTGATGTTTCTCTCCCTCTCTTTCTCCTTCCCTTCCCCTCTCTCTAAAAATAAATAAAATCTATTTCTTAAAAAAAATTAGACACAATTCACCTATTCCACATCATGAAAACAGCTAAATAAATTATATTATATTCTTGTCATATGATACTATGTTTTTAAGGAAACCCTTTGCCACAGGGAAATGTTTGAGATTTGTTAGTGAAAAAGATCAGGATATATATATATACATGGACTATGATCCTAACTTTGATTAAAAAAAAAAATAGCCCTGGCTGGTATAGCTCAGTGGATTGAGCACAGGCCTGTGAACCAAAGGGACACCAGTTCGATTCCCAGTCAGGGCACACACCTGGGTTGCAGGCCAGGTCCCCAGTTGGGGGCATGCTACAGACAACCACACACTGATGTTTCTCTCCCTCTCTTTCTCCCTCTTTTCCCCACTCTCTAAAAATAAATAAATAAATAAAATCTTTAAAAAAAAACAAACAGGAAAAAAAAGGAGGATTATAAATACAGAAAATATTGAAAAAACAACAGTGTTAACAGTGGTTATGCCTGGGTGTGGAATTATGATTTTTTTCTTTACACTTTTCCCCATTTTCCCCTATTTTTTATAGTAACCCTTAATATCTGACGTGATAATTTTTGAAGAGCTCTTTCTCAAAACAAATGCTCACAGGCTAACTTAAAGCGGCCAGAAATGCCAAGCCCCCAGGCCGTCACCACGGCCTAGCGCGCGGTGTCCGCCTTCTCGACCCAGACCCCTCCGCGCTCCGGGCCAGCCTCCCGCCCTAACCGTGACTTCTGTTCATGCCCCACCTCTTCTCTGTGCTTTGGCCAACTGAGCCATTTGTTTCCACGGCTTGTCCTCTGCGTTCTCATCTCCAGATCTTTGTTCTTTCTTTTTGCAACTGTTCTCCATTGGTCAAGCCCGAGCGCATCCCGGAAGCTCATCTTAAATGCCTCCACCTCCTCGGCGCTTCCTCTCTTAGACTGTCACCGCCTCCGTAAAGGCTCCTGGGCAAAGTTGATCTCTCTCTCGTATTCCCTTAGGACCTTTACGTCCCACAGTTAAATATTAGTTTACATCCCACTGTTAAATATTGACTGCTATCCCCCTAGACTTTTAAGAATCCACGAGCATAAGAAACAATCATGCATAATAATTACGTGTTGAATGAATCTTCTTAAACATCCATAGCAGCGGTGTACCAAGTTCATGTAACATCACATGCTCTCTTGTATCAGATCTCCTGCACATGCATTTTTTTCCTCATAAGACGCTGGGATGGATAAGGATTGTGCCTTACACACAGGATTGTATCTGTCCTGACTGTGAATTTAGAACAAAATGTTCTAAATGGCAAATGCTAGATGCATATTTTACTCAAGAAACTTGAAGAGTGAAGGCCAGAGTTGTAGGGGGTTCACTACCAGGTAGGTGAAAAGACAGTAACAGGTTTTATGGGGAAGGCAAGTGACACCAAGTGGCCTGAACTACTGATGATCCATCTAGATGCAGCAAAGCTCAACAACAGTTTTCAAGAGACCATCATATTGCAAATGGATTAATACTGACAAAAATAAGCAACGGGGAGTAGATTCGAATCTGATTCACACACTGACCCGTTTGCATTAGCAAAAAGCACTCAGTGCTTTTCTCCGAGCCTCAGGCATGTCCTAGAATCCACCCCCCAACTCCTGAATATACTTCTGCTTCCTTCCCAGAACGGGTCTGAGGGAAACACGACTAGTTTAAAGGCACACTAATTGCAGTGATTTTTGTTTGAAATTAAACAGGGAAGGCCACAGGAAAGAATAAGAAATTAAACTGAAAATGCATCTCAGGTCCACCCGTGTCCTACACAGGAGAACCATCAACCATCATTGTAAACTGTTTGAGCCACTGCTGGTCATTCAAGCAAAAACAGTGCGTCCATGATCTCCGGATGGTCAAGGCACCCATAGCGATAAAGTCGCCTTGGTCCAACCATTCTCATGTGTGTCCCTCAGGTTTGTGGTCAGGAAAAATTGTCAAAATCTTGGGGAAAATGCATCTTAAATTGCTGTAATATATACATATAATAAATCCAAATGCTCTCTCTTAAAGCTAATTAACATAACAATTCTATGCATAGGCCAATAACTGAAGTGAGAAATTATAGAATCAAAGTATGTGCTTTTTCCCATCTGTTTCATTCCAAAAGTATTTACTGAGCACTGCACACGTTCCCTGAACAATTCTAACAGGTAGGGATGTAACAGCACAATAAAAACTAGACAAAATAGACAGATCCATGCCTTCTTAAAACTGACATTCCTTTTCTGTGGGGGGACAAATACATATACACTGAATATTAGATGGTGATAAATGCTATTTTTAACAGAGGGAACTGTGGAGGGATTGATTCATTTTAAACACAGAGGGGCCTCACTGTGCAGATGACACTCAGCAGAGAACTGGAGGAAGGGGGAGAGCAGCGCAGATTTGTGGGGGTGTGCTGGGGTCCTCAGCAGGGAGAGCCTGCGCAGAGGCCCCGGGCCAGGAGCGGGCAGGCTGGTGCTGCTCACGGAACAGCACAGAAGCCGCAGGGGCTGGACCGAGAGGAAACAGGCACAGGTGTGGTCAGGCGGTGGTACAGAACCCAGTGTGAGCCACAGTGGAAACTTTGCCTTCCACTTGGCAATGTGACAGGGGTTCTAAACCACCATTAACTAGTCAAAAGTAAATGGAGTGCTGTTTTGCCTAGATCTACTGGCCTACTAATCTATTTTCTACTGTATCCAAGTGGTGTCTTAATAATGTTCTGCTTAATGTTCTGAGACACCAGACATCTGAGTCTTCACTTGGGCCTTGCTGCTGATTTTAAAAAATGACTTAGTTCAGGGAAGGAAACTCTCTTCTTATTTCCAACACTACACCTGGCATGCTGTCCTCTCCTATTCCCAGTCGCTTTCCAAGTTTACTGGACCGGGGAACGAAGGTCCCAGGCTCTGTTGCTGTACTTGGCCTTGACTTTGCACATTGTCAGAGCTCTCTAATCCTGATGAATTAAGAAATATTCCCTCTTGGCAAATAAGTTTTGACCTCCAACTCAAAGGAGTGCTTTTTACTGGAAAGGAAGCATTATAACATATTCTTTGAAAAAATAAGAAAAGCAACCATAATATAAAGAAACTGTCTTTTCTAAAGGGCATTAGTCATACTTTTTAATAAAAGCTTGTTAGTGAAGTTTTACCAAACAAGTATATACATATATATATATATAAAATTTGAAGTGTGTGTAAAAACTAAAGTCTACCTCATTGTTAAGTTTTCACAGATCAGGAAAAATCTAATGACTTGGTTTTACTGGGCTATGGGGAAATTTTAAAATATTAATTCAATTTTTAGCCGATGATAAGCAACTCATGAGGAATTTAAAGACTAATAATAAACTTTCCTGTGCTGTTTATGAATCACGGGACTGGCAGTTCTTACTCTGGGCCTGATAATCCTTCCAAACAAGACCCGTGACCAGAGGTGCCATTCGGTCACGAATCACTCTGTGCTGCCTTCACTGCGCACCCCGACCACAAAGGAGAATGGCACGTCCACCGATGCGGCTCAGAGAAGCGGGGAGCATAGCAGGCATCTAATCCAGCTCTGCTGTTTACCACTGTGTGCTTGGAACCAACAACCAGTCTTCTGAGCCTCAGTTTCCCCTTCAGCAGATGAAAACACACAGAGGACTACTGTGAAGATTACAGGGATGGGCCGGGTGGATAGCCGAGTACCGTGATGGTGGTTATGTCTTTCTGTTACTTTGAAGAAATTATTGAGTTCCAGAAAGGAAAACCTTCCCTTTTTTCTTCTTTTTCCAGCTTTATTGAAATATAATTGAATATGACATTGTATGGATTTAAGATGTACAGTGTGATGATCTGGTACATGACTATATTGTGAAATGATTACTGACAATGAACTTAGTTAACACCCATCAGCTCACACAGGTAACTTTTGTGCCTGTGGGCGTGAGAACATGTAAGATTTGCTCTGTTGGAAACTTTCCTTTAAAAAAAAAAGATTTTATTTGTTTTATTTTTGGAGAGAGGGCAAGGGAGAGAGAAAGAGAGGGAGAGAAACATCAATGTGTGGTTGTTTCTTCCCCCAACCCACTGCACTAGGGACCAGGCCCACAACCCAGGCATGGGCCCTGACTGGGAATTGAACCTGCAGCCCTTTGGCTCTCAGGCCAGCACTCAGTCCACTGAGCCACACCAGCCAGGATGGGAACTTTCAAGTGTGGGATGCAGTAGTGCTAACTGTAGTCACCATGCTGTGCACTAGACCCCAGAACTCATCCATTGCATAACTGGGAATGCACCCTTGACCCACGTCTCCCCCTTTCTCCCACCCTACCCCGCTGTGACCACCACCATTCCATTCTGTTCTCACAAATGTGCCTTAGCATAATGCCCTCTACGCCCAGTCATGTTGTCACAGATGGCAGGACTTCCTCCTTTTATATGACTGAACAGGATTTCGTTGTGTAGGTTATGTGTACCCTACCATTACCCGTTCGTTGGTCAGTGGACACTTAGGTTGGTTCTGTATCTTGGCTACTGGAAAAATGCAGTAATCAACACGGGAGTACAGATGTCTCTCCAAGATAGTGATTTCATGGTCTCCCCTTATTCTCAACACATCGGATCAGCTGTTATCTCCCGTTCTTTCTCGTTTTTCAGTTTTACTAGTCAGAGCATGAGGGTTCCAGACCCTGACTTTGTATTTTGTCAGAGTTATCTAAACCAGATATATTAGGAAATGTTCCCCCCTTGGCAAATCAGCTTGACCTTCAAACAGACCCCTGTATCTTTATATCCAGGAGGAACACTGGATATCACAGCTTGTGCAGACTGCCCAAAAACCCCAAAGCCAAAAGTAGTCGCCTCGGACCCTGTCCGTTGAGAGTTGACATGCTTACGCTGACTTACCTGGCCTGGTTGGGGCCAATCTTGTGGCCTCCAGGGCCCTGTTCTGTAGCAGAGTGCCCACAGCACTGGTAACCGTCGGTTCTTTTTTGGAACTCGTCTGAGCCCTACCCTAAAGAGAGAGGGGGAACAGGCCTCTAACCTCAGGTAGCACACACGAGCAACACTCCCCACTTCCCACTTAACCAGCAGTCATTTCTGGAGACCGGCTGCACTCGGGGGCGGGGGACACGCACACCCTGCCCCCCAGTTGGCCAGGTTCCCAACCTCTCCACTGGTGCTCGAAGCCACGTCAAGGGTGAGGAGCTTTCGTTCTATAATCGAGCCTTTGGGGGAATTGTGATATGTTAATCCTGGGAAATGAGTTGTATACAGACGTAAGAAATCACTCCGTGTCAGAAAAGATAGTTATGGAACATTCTAGTTTTTCATTACCCTTGAAGATGCCTTTGTTTTTAAATACATGAACAGAGAAGAAAAACAGACATTGGCAGGCAGCAAATGTTTTAAACATGGAATTCCACCATCCCCACGCCACACCCCTCCCTACTGAGCTGCAGGAGCAGAATGGTTACATTTAATGCAGCACGAGGATCCAAAGGTTCCTTGCTAGCTCCTTTTTACCCCGCTGCTGAGCCCACCGCCATCTCCATGGAAACCACATAAAGATAACCTGTTACTCCAAGTGAGAGCTCTCACTTGGGCAAGGCTATAGCTGTGAGATTATAGCAGGCAGTTCATCCCCAGCCAAACAAACAGAGCTATTTTCAGAGGGTAGGACACTTTTTTTAAAGTTGATTTTATTTAAAATAGAAACACATTTCAGCGGTGCTGTTAACAGCCCTTCCGCACTGAAACCAGCCCTCCCTTTCTGTGCCACTTCTGAATAAGCCTCACTATGCGGCCGGGCCCCAGCGCGGTGAGGCTGGCATGGGGAAAACAAGCACTGCTGTTCAGACACACTCGACAGTGAGTTTACTCAGAGAGCAAGCAATTTTTCTTCTGTGTTCCCAATCACCACTTAGCTCTGCAAAACAAGGCAAGGAACGGGGCCAAGTCACTGGTTACAGTCGGGGCGGCCAGCTGGCCTCCTTCAGGAATAAAAAGCACTTCCGTAGCTGCTTCCCAGTGCTCCCTTTGGCTCCACTAAACCCCGACTCACTTCGTGAACTGGCCAGAAGAGCCATTCGAAGAACTGTGCCGCACCCTGTGCTGCTTTAGCAACTGGAGGCAGGGTTATACCGAGAAAACCTTTCCAAGGCCAAGTTGAATGCAAGCCCAAAGCAGTCATATCCCCTCAAAACTGGGGTGTCTTCCCCATCCAGAGGAAAGGACTCCCAGAGGAGGGAAGGAGGGTGGTGTGAGGGAGAAGGAAGGCAGGTGGGGGAACCCCTATGGGAAGGCACTTCACTTATAGTATCTATAACCCTCCCAACAACTCGGCAAGGTGAGGACTACAGTGAATCTCCAAGAATTTAAGTGACTTGTCCAAGTTTCCCTGCAGATAGCGAATTATGGAACTGCAAGTCAAACCCTGACTATGGATTGCAGAATCCCGGCCCTTTCTACATTGCACCACCTCCCATACTATTTCAGGGGTAAAGATTAAATCTCTACAACTATATTTATCATAACCACCTTGCCTGCTCCACCAACACACCTGTCTCCTCCCTCCTGCGTTCCTTTATCTGGATGCACAGTATTATTAACTGCCTAGGCTCTGGAGCTAAAAACCTTCTTGTCAACCCTGATCCTCTTTTACCCCATCTCCAATTGCCTTCTCAGTCTCATCAATTAGTTCTTACACTCTCTCTCCTTGCCCCCACCCCCATTCGTCTTCTTATTCCAGCCCATGATTCCTTCCCTGTTGTGTGGCTGTTAGCGGGTCTCCTGACAATCCATCTCGAACGCTAATTGCAAGGCTGATCTTTCTAAAAAACCAATTCCATGTCCCTCCAGTCTATACTGTCAACCAGTCAACATTGCCTGTAGAGTGACACACGGGGCTAATAATAGACAATTAGACAGAAAAGCCAAGGTCAGAGAGAAGAGGAAGCGGAAGCAGAGTAGGAACAGGTGAGATGGAGAGATGGCAGAGAGGACTCCCTGGGTACCTGGGAACTTTACTATTCCTGCTTCCAGACCCTCAGGCTGGCTGGCCTCAGATTTCAGGGCACCTACCCCTTTTCCTCCTTTCTGAACCAGCTCGACTTAACGCAACCTTCTAGATCGGACACAGGCTCAGTCTGCCCCACCCCCTGCCACCCTCCCACAGGCACCTGTGCTTTAACCTCACGAGCTGGGCTCTTGGGGCGTAAGCTGGATGTTTGTGAAGAACGGCCTCCCCAGTGCCAGCTCTACGCTGCTGAACCCATTTGATAGTTGAGGGGGGGGAATATCTGCTCCTCTTTGAAGCCATCCATGAATCCTAGTGGCCTCTTCCTCACCTTGTGCTCCTACATATGGCAACCGCCACACCTTCCTATTGCATCATGTCCAGGTCCCCACTTCCTCTGAGGGATGAACCCTCGATCGGCTGGCACCTAGCACCGTGCCGGGCACACAGAAGACATCCCACACCTGTCCGAGGCAGTGGAGACAGAGCTTGAGGCCATGGCTGTGGGATAAGCTCTTCTTGGAGGGGGTCCCATCCCCATTAGGTAATGGATTTCGTGGAAATCTTTCTAAACATTATTTCATTCTTCTAAGTGTTCGTGCCAATTTAATCTTTTCTTGGTGTCTGAGCCATGTTTATGAGACTAACAGTGTTCATGCTGTACAGTCAGTTCTGTTCCTGGGACCTGCGATCCGTGCAGAGCCGTTTGCTGGCTCCGGTTCCGTCTGTTTTTATAAATCTATAGTTTTCCTGGGCAAGTTGTCATTGCACGTATTCGTGTCTATCTGTAACAGTTGCTTCCATTTCTCCCCTTTAACTTGCTGATTCTGTGGCTTTTGGAAAAGGCCGAACACCTTCCTCTGTGGGGCAGAACAGGTGGCTGGCGGGGCGGGCATCCTCCCGCCCCCTCCCTCCCCCAGGCCCACTTCGCTTCAGGTCTTGCAAAGCTTTCCTGTGTGGTCAAGGCTGATGACCACCATTGGAGAGACAGAGTTTAACCTAATACTACAGAAACACGATGTGTAGATTCAAGTCTTCATCCCAAGAAGCTGCCAACGCTACAGAAATAGTTGTTCTCTAACACCTAAACGTGGTGTAAGCTGGAAACTCAAAAGGAGCCCCTCCTACAAGGATGAGGGACAGTGATCAGCGACGGGGATCCTTACCTTTCCCAGGACGAGTAACTTAGGTTCCCCACCCAAGTTGACCCGCTTGCCCCAGGCATGCCAGGGCACAAGAGGCAGCACCGAGGGAGAGATTTTACCTGTGCTCTGGATGCCAGTTTGGCTGCTGTTTGGGCTGGATCAAAGACTCGGCGAGAAGACTGATCCTTGCAGAAATTAATATGGCGACTGGCTGCATTTTCATTAAACCTCCTCATACAATATGGGCACTGAATATAATCTGAATGTAAAGATAACAACAAAAGGCAATTAGCTTTGCAAAAAAATGATCTCTGTCACGGACTATAGGAAATGAAATAAATAGGATATGAACTGTGCTGCAACACGAAAGAACAAGGTCCCCAGTGCTGGTGTGAGACAGCCTGTTCCAGAGGGGAGGCCTGCAAGGACTCCAGATAGAGGACACGGGAGGGGAGATTGTTATACTGTGCACTCACTTCAATGAAGACTGTGCCCCTAAAATGTTTACACAAATTCGACTCAGGAACTTCCCGATTAAATGAATTAGCGAGTGGAACTTTATGTAAGAAGCCGTCCTGAAATCACAGAATGTTAGTATTGATGACTCAACAGGGCACTGAAGATTCAAAAGCCCAGGTCACTGCACTGACTGTGACAGAGAGACATACAAGGGTTATGCGGCTGCTCAGGGAGATGAGATGTTTCAGAATGTGGGTCTCCGGATGGCCTTTGAAGCCATTGTCACTGGCAGAAAGACCCTGCTTCTGCAGTGACTTCTGCAGCGCTGGATTCTGTTCACTGAGCACTGAAGCAAGGAGGCCGACGTCCCAGGCAGCTCTGTGGGCAGGTCGTCCTCCGTGGGTCTGTGGGAATACCCACTCATCTTGACCCGGCTCTCATTCGCAATCGCCAGACAATGAGAGAAACGAGAGGTGAGAACGACCCCAGGTCTTAGCACGTGGAGATGCTCATAGCAAAGACAAGTGGAGCCTACCTCCCCCTAAAGCAAGCAGAGAAAGAGAGATGTGGGTTTTGGTTTTTTTTAGGTACCTCTCCTTCAGGGATGACAAAGTGGTTGTGCGCAACACAGGAAAATAACTCCCCTACCCCTCCAGAAAGGATCTGAGAGAGCATCAACCTTAACCTCCGCATAGGAGTTTGGGTTGGCCGAAATTCCCACATGTGTGGATGAGTATTTAAAGCAGTGATGTCTTCAAAGTTAAGAGTCCTTCGAAGGCGACTTTTAAAGCACGCTGTGGGGAGCTCTCTATTTTAACAAATCATTTCCTAAAGTGAATACCCATAAAATGTAACAATTGGAAGAAATTGGGAGGAAATAAAAGAGGAGCACCTCTCCCAAGCCTTCATTTCGCACTCTGGAAGTCCGGCCCTAACTATTCATTCAATACACACGGAACACCTATTCCGTGCCAGGTGGCGGATTTATACATGGTGATACGAGGTCTCTGTAATCAAGGACTAGGCATTCCAATACAGAAGCAAAGTTTTCCCACAGAGATAAATTCCTTGAAAAAAATAAAAGAGGGCAGCGTTGGGAAATGCTGAGGGCCCCGCAGCCTGCCAGACTGGTTTGGGCCCCAGCTCCTCACTCGCTCTGTGCGTGAGCGCGGGCGAGTTACTCAACCTCCCGAGGCTTCAATTTCTGCAGTGACTGCGTATCACCCACTTCATCGGGTCGTTGTGAAAGTTAACTAAAATAATCCGCACCAGGGCTTGGCACGCGGGCGGGGCCGGGCATACTATTCCTATAAGGAAACAGGCCCAGCAAGGTTGCGCTCCCAACCACCAAACACGAGCGAAACTGCTTAGAAAAAGTCAAATGTGGAGTGCCATTCCCACGCAGAACTCCCAAGGGTGTAGAAAAGCACCTAGAACTTGGCTTTGGTGTGGGGGTGCATCTCTTCATTGTCCCCAGCTGTGAAGTCGAGGCTTATAGCAGAAAGGCTGCCACCCGGGACCGAGCAGGCTCGGGCACAGGCGACGATTACAGCAACGACTGCGTTGTTTGCTTAATCCCACTTGTTCGTTCATTCACTGCTGCCCTTCTGTATGTTTGGCACTAGATGCCACCAGGGAGACAACCAAGCTGAAGTGTGTTTCCCTGCCAACAAAAGCTCAGAGGGGACTGGAGGACTAGGCAAAGGGGCAGACAGTCACCATTCCGTGCGGGAGGAGGAGGCACCGCGTCCTCCGGGTCCTCCGGGAGCGCGAGGAGGAACAAGCAGCCCTGATTTCGGGGGCAGAGAAAGGGAACGTCAAATCCTCTGAGAATACAACAAGTATTTCTCGGTACCAACAATCTGGGCACAGTGTGACCAAGCCACATGCTCCACGCTCGTCTCAATGCTACTCGCCTCTTTATCAATCCCAATGGCACAAAAGTCACTGCGGATGACTTATTTCAATAGATGATGGTTTTAGAAGTCTGACTGCAAATGGATTTTAAAAAATTCTCACTCAAGGACATTTTACTCATGGTTTTTAGAGAGAGAGAAGCAGCGATGTGAGAGAGAAGCATGGGTTGGCTGCTTTCTGTAGGTGCCCAGACCGGGAATCACACAGGCTGGGACCAGGATCAAACCCACAGCCTTTGTTACCCGGCCATCTCTGACCAAGCCACACCTGCCAGGGAAAAATGGATTCTTATGAGGACTGTGGGGAGGATGGTTAGAGCTCGTTGGAAAAACAAAGGCAGAAAAGTGAGCATCATTCAAAAGTGCAAACATTTTGTGGAGTACCCATGCCTATGAAGCCCTGTGAAATGGTGAACAAGTGTTCCAGGCCTCTCAGAAAATTCTGATGATAAATATTCAATGTCATCGTCCCTATAAACTCACAACATCCTGGAAAGCTGAATGATTGGCAGACTAGCTTAACTCAGTAAGAATTAGGATAAATATATATGTGTCACAAAAACTGAGTTACGAAATAGGGAATCAGGCTGAAAAAAAAAAAAGAAAATCACTTGCAAACTCATGCATGAGAGGCAATATTCTATGTAACTCTAGTTATAGCTCTGCGCAGTTTCTACTATCGAAGCCTGAGAATACCTGGGCTAATATAAATTTCCAATCAATCAAAGTAACTTTATAGTAATTAAACTGGGCTATTGTATATAATCATTTTGTTTGGTGCTTAAAATTACAATGAGAGCACAGAAAGGAATGTAATTGTGAAACTGTATTTTAGCATGAAACTGTCAAGAGCAGATAAATAAATTGTATGTTTGATGAGGTCTTGCAAAGGGAATTATTTATTTTAAAAAACAATAATCCCCATAGTTGACGTTCGACATGAAAATAATAGAAATTCACTCGTCTGACGTGGTTTCACTTATTCAGCTAAAGAATCACCAGGTAGTCATTCAATTCTGCAGCTTCTGCTATTAAAATAAAGTACTTCTCATGAAAGATGTTTTTGTTATATGAAGCTTGTTGCCAAAGTATTATCAAAACCATAATCATAGCTCTTTCTATTGAACACCTTGAGATGACGCATTATTTTAATGACATTTTCATTAACACCCAGCAGAAGTGAAGCACTTACTAAAATTATTACCTGGTAAAAAAGATCAGATGATTTCTTTTTCAGATGATTTTTATTTCATGATTACACAGTGGGTTTTTGTTTTATTGTTGTTTTCTTACAATCAAAAACAAGCTTTGAGAAATAATTTATATACAATAAAGGCACCTATTTTAAATGTTAGTTCAATGAGTTCTGACAAAGGTATACTTTTGTGTAACTACCCTGATTAAACAGAACAATTCCAGCACCCAAAAAAGTTCCCTCGTGACCTGCTCAGTCAATGTTCGCCGAAATCCAGTCTCAAGCAACCAAATGTGTATTTTCCTGCCACTAAAGATGTTACAAATCTGTGTAACAACCAGGATGCTCCATGTGTAGTAGCAATTTCTTCTCACTGTTGAATTGTATTCCACTTTGTAAATACTCCACAATGTGTTTATCCATTCACTTGTTGACAAGCACTTTCAGATGTTTATAGTTTATACTATCTAAAGTTGCTATGAACATTAATTTTATAAGGACACATTTTTGTTTTTTTGCATAAATACCTAGGATTGGAGTAGCTGTATCATTAAGTCTATGTTTAAGAAAATATCAGTGTAAAGTGGCTGTACTACTGTGTATTCCTATCAGCAGTGTATGAGACTTCCCATTATTCCACATCTAGCCATCACTTGTATTGTCGGTCTTTAATTTTAACCATTCAAGGGGGTATGTGAGGTAACTCACTGTGGTTTAACTTACACTGCCTTGATGAAAGTAATATAGGATATCTGTTTATGTGGTTTTGTTCATTACTTTTTGATGCATTGGTTCAAATATATTGGTTGCCTTTTCCCTCTTGGTTTGTTTGTCTTATTAATGAGTTGTAAGAGTTCTTTATATATTCTTAGTGTGAGTCCTTTGTCAGATATATGTATTATAAATATTTGCTTCCAGCCTATGGCTTCCTTTGCATCCACTTAATGGAATCTCTCAAAAATAAAATTTTTAATTTTGGTAAAGCTCAATTTATCAGTTTTCTTTTTAAAAATTGTTAGTGCCTAAGAAATCTTGACCCTTAGATCAAAGATTTTTTTTTCTACAAAGTTTATAGTCATTGGACTTACGTTAGGTCAATGATCCATTTTGAGTTAATTTTTGTATATGGTATAAAGATCAAGGCTCATTTTTCCCATGTTGATGTTCAGCTTTCCTAGCATCATTTGTTACTAAGACTATCCTTTACCACATTGAATTACATTTGTCAAAAATCTATTGCCTATAGGTGGGGAAGGAGGAGTTTATATCTAGATTCTCTTTTCTGTTCGATTGATACACTAATTCCAAATTGTAATGATCACTGTAACATTATAGTATATCTTGATATAAGATAGCCTAAATTCTCCAATTGTATTCTTTTTCAAAAACTATCTTGTCTATTCAGATCCTTTGAATTTCCATATAATTTTAGAATCAGCTGGTCAATTCCTACTTGGCAAAGAAAACTTGCAGCAATCTGTACTGAAATTACCCCAAGGCCACAGAGCAGGTTGGAGAGAATAGACATCCTAACACAACACTGAGTGTTCCAGACCATGAAAATGAGAAATTTCTCCATGCATTTTGTTCCTCTTTAAGTTCTCTGAGCAATGTTATAAGGTTTTCATTTTATATTCTAACTTATTTTAAAAAGTACATACCTAAATATTCAGTGTTTTTACATTATTA